GGAAGCCAAATTCAGATAAACACACAGTTGTTTTGGGGACAGGCAGAACTTATTGACGTCTACCTTGAGTCTGTGTTGGTCTACTCGGGTTCTGAAATGTCCAAATTACATGGCCACACCAAAAGAACGTGCCTGAATAAAATCCCCGAGATCTTATCCATTCAACCGAAAGCATTTGAGTCCGGGTACTCGAGGCATGAACCAAGCCGAGGCACGAACCAAGTGGTGTTCTCTAAAAAAGTTAAATCTGGTCCTCTGGACATTCAAAAAAAAAAAAAAAACACACACAAAACAAAAAAATTGTAGAAACGTTTTGTCTTTCATCCGAAAGACTTCCTCAGTCTGAGGTGCAATATTCATCTCAGTCTTATAAATAGCACCCTCTTGAAGTGGATCAACCAGTTTTTGACTGACAGCCAAACCAGCTGCTCACATCATCAAGGAGGACCATCAGCCTAACGATGGATCATTAGCACCCTGCTGGCTGTTTGCTATTCACTGGGGTCTGAGTGACACTAGCAATAACAGCAGTGTAAAAGGGGGACAGTTGAACACAGAGGCCTCCACCCCTGTTTAATGATGGACGGTTTCTTTTCACAAAGATGGCCTCCTTTACTCCTCTCTCAAACCATTGTTCCTCTTTATCAATGATGTGAACATCTTCATCCCTGAAAGAGAGACCACTGGCCTGGAGATGAGTGTAGACCGCAGAGTCCTGGCCTGATGATGTTGATCTTCTGTGCTGGGCCATCCTTTTGGCCAGTGGCTGTTTAGTTTCCCCAATGTAAGACTGATCACAGCCCTCCTGACACTGAACAGCATACACAACATTACTCTGTATGTGCTGGGGGACTGGATCTTTGGGATGAACCAGTCTTTGCTGTAATGTATTTTGGGGTTTAAAAGCCACTGGGACGTTATGTTTAGAAAATAAATGTCTCAGTTTCTCTGATACTCCTGCAACATATGGAATGACCACTGGTCTGGGTCTGGGTTCCTCCTTTTCACCTGATGGCTGGCTGGAGTCCTGTTTGGGTTTCTTCTCTGCTTTCAGGAAGGCCCAGTTAGGATATCCACATTGCTCTAGAGCCTGTCTTGTGTGGGATTTCTCCTTCTGCCTGGCTCCTGAGTTAGTGGGGACTCTGTCTGCTCTGTGGTACAGAGTCATGATGTCTCCTAACTTGTGCTCCAAAGGGTGATGGGAGTCAAACTGCAAATACTGGTCTGTGTGGGTGGGTTTACGGTACACCTCAGTTTGCAAATGTCCTCTATCAGAAACAGAGACCTCACAGTCCAAGAAAGCCAACCTGCCATTTTTTAAATCTTCTTGTGTGAACTTGATATATTTATCCACAGAGTTGATGTGATCAGTGAAATGTTGGACTTCCTGAGATTTAATTTTAAACCAGGTATCATCAACATACCTGAACCAATGACTTGGTGGTGTCCCTGAAAAGGACGTCAAGGCTCTCTTTTCTACCTCCTCCATGTACAGGTTGGCCACAACAGTTTTGTGGGTTTTTTTTTTTTTTGAATATCCAGAGGTCCAGATTTAACTTTTTTAGATTTTTCTACCTGGGTTAGTGAGCAGGGCAGCACGGTGGCGCAACTGGTAGAGATGCTGCCTCTCAGCGAGCAGGTCCCTTGTTCAAACCCCGGTCCGGGGGCCTTTCTGGGTGGAGTTTGCATGTTCTCTCCGTGGATGCATGGGTTTTCTCCGGATACTCCGGTTTCCTCCCACAGACCAAAAACATGCATGTTAGGCTGATTGGTAACTCTAAATTGTCCCTAGGTGTGAGTGAGAGAGTGAATAGTTGTTTGTCTCGTTTGTCTCTATGTGGCCCTGTGATGGACTTGCGACCCGTCCAGGGTGTACCCCGCCCCTCGCACAGTGATTGCTGGACATGGGCACCGGCGACCCCCGTGACCCAAAGTGGAACAAGCAGGTAAAGCAAATGGATGGATGGATGGATGGATGGATGGATGGATTGATGGATGGATGGATGGATGGATGGATGGATGGATGGGTTATTGAGCATGCATCAGGATACAAGTGGTGTTCTGTTATTGGAGTTTTGTGCTCATCATGGATTGTCCATAACGAACACTATGTTCAAGCATAAGGGTGCCCATATGTGCTCTTGGCACCAGGACACCCTAGGCCACAGTTCAATAAGCGACTTTGTTGTCCTCTCCTCTGATCTGCAGGCTCATGTCTTGGACACTCGGGTGAATAGAGGGACAGAACTGTCCACTGACCACTACCTGTTGATGAGTTGGCTCCGATGGTGGGGGAGGATGCCAGTCAGACCAGGCAGGCCCAAACATATTGTGAGGGTCTGCTAGGATAATCTGGCAGAGTCTCCCGTGAGATGGAGCTTTAACTCCCACCTCTGGGAGAGCTTCAAACATGTTCCGGAGGAGGTTGGGGACATTGAGTCAGAGTGGGCCATATTCCATGCCTCTATTGTCGAGGCAGCTTATTGGAGCTGTGGCTGCAAGGTTGTTGGTGCCTGTCGTGGCGGTAACCCTTGAACCCGGTGGTGGACACCAGCAGTGAGGGACACTGTCAGGCTGAAGAAGGAGTCCTATCAGACCTTTTTGGCCTGTGGGACCCCGGAAGCATCTGATGGGTATCGGCAGTCCAAGCGGCATGTTACTCAGTTGGTCACTGAGACAAAAACTCGGGCGTGGGAGGAGTTCGGAGAGGCCATGTAGAATGACTCCCGTACGGCTTTGAGACGATTCTTGTCCACCATCCGGCATCTCAGGGGGGAAAGCGGTACGCCACCAGCACTATTTATAGTGGAGGTGGTGTGCTGCTGACCTCAACTCAGGATGTCATGGGTCGGTGGGCAGAATACTTCGAAGACCTCCTCCATCCCACCAGCACGTCTTCCACTGAGGAAGCGGAACCTGGGGACTTTAGATCGAGCTCTCGACCTCTGGTGCTGAGGTCACCAAGGTGGTTAAAAAGCTCCTCGGTAGCAGGGCCCCAGGGGTGGATGAGATTCACCCAGAGTTTGTTAAGGCTCTGGATGTTGTAGGGTTGTGTTGGCTTACACGACTCTGCAATATTGCATGGACATTTACCATACCATACCATTTTATTTATAGAGCACTTAAAACAGCTACAAGGCCAACCAAAGTGTTATACAGACAGAACATCAGACAACACACAAAGCAATATACAAAATGAAGTAAATCAAAAATATAGACATAAAAATGATGCAGATAATAAATATGACAACAAACCAGTGTGGAGCGTACAGGTTCAAAACACAGATCCTCTGGTGTTGAAAGCTACTGAATAGTAGTGGGTTTTTAAACGGAATTTGAAAACTGAGAGGGAGGGGGCCAGTCTGACAAACAGAGGTAACTCATTCCAAAGTCTTGGCCCAGCTACAGAGAAGGTCCTGTCACCTCTATGCTTAAGACGAGTTCCTGGAACTGTGAGGAGCAATTGGTTCGCTGACCTCAGGGAACGTGGTGGGACATACGGTTGTAGCAGATCAGAGAGGTGGGGGGGGGGGGGGGGGACTCTTCAGCAATTTGTAGACATACAGGAGTATTTTGAACTGGATTCAAAGGTGAACTGGTAGCCAGTGCAGTGAGGCCAAAACTGGTGTAATGTGCTCTCTTTTGCCTGTACTGGTTAAAAATCGAGCTGCTGCATTCTGGACCAGTTGTAGTCATGCAATGGAGGTCTGATTGATACCAAACAGGAGCGAATTGCAGTAATCAGGCCTAGATGTAATGAATGCATGTATTACTGTCTCCAGCTTATTTTTGGACAATATGGGCTTCAGTTTAGACAGCTGCCTCAGTTGGAAGAAACATGATTTAACAATCATGTTTACATGATTGTTAAGTTTCAGGGAAGGGTCCATTACCACTCCCAGATTAGTGACTCTTTGTTTTTCTGACAGGGTTAGAGTGGAAAGGTCGATGCAGTGGTTTGTGATTGTGTCATTGGGAGGGAACAACATGACTTCAGACTTCTTTTCATTGAAACTTAAGAAGTTTAAAGCCATTCAGTCTTGATGATGTCAGCCAGGCAGTCGAGCAGAGGTTGAATAGAGCATAGGGAATTTGGGGCACTTCCCCTGGATTGGCAGATCAGGGTGGTGGTCCCCCCATTCAAACAAGGGGACCATAGAGTGTGTTCCAACTACAGGGGGATCACGCTGTTAAGCCTCCCTGGTAAGGTCTATTCAGGGGTTCTGGAGAGGAGGGTTTGTCAGATAGTTGAACCTCGGATTCAGGAGGAGCAATGCAGTTTTCGTCCTGGTTATGGAACACTGGACCAGCTCTACACCCTCAGCAGGGTCCTGGAGTGTGTGTGTGGGAGTTTGCCCTAACAG